TTATACGTGATTTGCCTCAGGGAATCTCACTGTAGTAATGTGATGCCAGTACCATAGGTAGCAATTTTATTGAGATGGGATCATAACATAGTGCTCAAAAGTCATTAATGTTAGACACCTTGCAATAACAATATATAAACATCTATTTCATTCTTTTTTTTCCGCTGGTACTGGGGATTGAACCCAGGGCCTTCACACTGAGCTACATCCTCAGGCTTTTTCAATATTTCATAAGTTGCTAAGTTGCCCAGGTTGGGCTAAAACTTTCAGTCTTCATGGTTCACCTCCCAAAGCACTGTATGTGCCATCATACCCAGCTTTTTTTTATTCCTTTTTTAACAGCTGCACAATATTCCATCATACAAACAGATTACAATCTGTCTTCTGTTGGTGGGCATTTGAGTTGCTGAGCCACCGGAAGAAGTCAGTGAGGTAATAGAGCCCCCGGCAGATCAAAGGGAAGGTTTCATTACAGTAGATGGCAGTGCTCCTTGGGGAGGAGAGCTGCGTGGATGCTCAGGTTGAGGTCAGAGCCCAGAACCACAGGACTACAAAACGCAGAGATGGTTGAAACTGGGACCTGAGCAGCGCTGGCCAGAGTCCCTGGAGCTGCTAGCAGCAGAACCACACGCAGACTTCCTCCCGCTACATGCTGTCTAGGTCTCTTAGACCCTCGCCAGTCCTTCTGGAATCAGAGATGCCTGAAGAGCCGAGTCCCCCTCTGTCCAGCTAAATTCCTTATGAATGGGCACACCTGCTTCCCCACTCCTGCGTGTCCTGGTCAGCGGTCCTCACTTTGATGGCATGTGGACCCCACTGGGGTCCTGCTGGATCAATCAAGGTCCTCCACACGCTTCTGCTGCTCTCCGTTTTTCATGGTGACCATTTTAGTACCATTAGTACCTTTGTGTCCCTTTCTCTAGTTACTGCCTTGGGATAGATTCCCAAGAATTAAAATTTCTAGGTCAGGATGCATGCACATTTTTAGTTTGACACTGAGAAGAGCTACTAAAAGAGCAAAACGGAGCCAGAGATAAAACACTAAGTGCTAAGAGAATTTAATTCCTAAAATGTCATTTCTCATCAGCGGAGAAAAGATGAGCTGGTAGATGAATGGAACTGAAGCCAGAGCCCAGCCATCCGGAAAAAGCAACTCCACAGGAAGGGAAGAGGATAAAAAAGCATTAAGTCGTGTTATGTACACGCACCAGTTGCCCTGGACGAGTGTGCTCAGCGCACCCTACAAACACGAACTAATAAAAACAAAAGTTGCAAAAAAAACCTTATTCTTGTGCAAAAAGTAAATTCCAGCAGAAGCCAACATGTTAGAAAAATGTTTTACAGAAGAGAATTTTATATGGCCCTTTCTAGGAAAAACACAAAACTGCAAGTCAATAAATAAAAAAACTGACGAATTCAACTCTTTGAAAATTAAAAATTTCTACAGAGAAAATTTCATGAGGTCAAAAGTCAATCAACTAACTAGGAAAAACATCTGCAACATAGGTCACAGATGAGAGGTACAGTTTGGCACTATTGGTAAAAAGCTATTGCAAATCATAAACAAAGGACCAAGAGCCAAGCTGGAAAGATTGGCGAAGGACAGGAAGAGGCAGTTCAGAGACAAGGAGATGTAAGTACTTCCTTAACTTCACGAGAGTCCGCAGGGTTTGACGGCTCCCTGGGCTGGCTGGCCTGGCTGTGGGGGGGCAGGGCTAGTGGGATCCACACCTTCATCCTCTCCCTCCTGGGGGCAGGGCTGGATGCCCTGGCAGACTGCCGTGACCAGGCTGGAGGAGAAATTCAGGAGGAAGAAGTGTGTGAGCACTCGCTCCCCTTCAGTGCCAGCGTCCCCGTGGTTCCAAGTGACAGTGGTGTCATGAGTTTGGTTCTGGGGTGAGGCCAGCGCCATGGAGTGAGGTCCTGGATGGACATGCGGTGAGTGTAGACTGCTGATCATTGTGAGCCCTGGGGTTGGGGCTGCGGGTGGAGCACAAGCCAGCCTGTTCCAGTACCCGCAAGCTTGCCAGCAGCAACGTGGATAGAAAGCCTTTGTGTATCTTTTCTTCTCAAAATTCCATACCTTCTAAGAATTTATGAAACATGTTCACATGCGCAGGGAGGCAGGGAGAGTTGCCGCTGCATTTTTTTTTTTTTTTTTTTGAGATGGGGTCTTGCTGTATGTATAGCCTAGGCTGACCTCAAATTTGTGATGATCCTCCTGCCCCAGCCCCCCAGGGACTGGGATTACAGGTGTGTGCCACCATACCTGCTCAATGCAGTTTTTTTTGTTTTTTGTGGTTTTTTTGGTACTGGGGATCGAACTCAGGACCTTGTGCTTGCCAGGCAGGTGCTTGCACCACTGAGCTATCTTCCCAGCCCCTCAATGCAGTCTTGATGGGAGATGGGTTAGAGATGCTGGGAGCCAGCCAGAACGGCATAACCCATACCCCAAAACAGGCAGCAGATGTGGGTGCACCAAGGTGGTTTTAACCGCAGAAGCAGGATTAGGGACAGCTTCTTCCTGAGAGGGAGTCACCCCAAAACGTTCCCACCAGAGAGTCCTGAGAGGGGGTGGCTTGGATTCCAGAGAAAGCAGCACTACTGCTAGGTAAGCAGCCCACAGGGGAGTGCTGCAGTTTTGGGGAGGGGGCAGGGGGTGACACTGGGCCTCCACACCCTCAAGGACAATACAGGGTTTAGAGGAGGGTTTTTAAGGTGCTGGCTCAGGGTCAGGGCCAGTTTTTCGGTGTTTAGGGCAATAACCTAGGTACCTTCATGGGTGCTGGAAATGGTCAGTGCTCTGGCCTGGGCTCCAGCGTGTTGGGGAAATCCCGCATACAGAGTGGTCAAGGGGCTCTGTGATTTTAGGTGAGGACGTAGAGAAATCCTGGAGCTGCTGGAGACAGCTGCTGGACTCCACCGACCGGATGATGACATGGGACCTGCCAATTAAGTCTACACACTTAACATCCACCTCACTAGTATAAATAAAAAGTTAAAAATAAACCCTAAAATAAACCCTAAATGTCTCCTTAATGTTTTAAATAAAAAAGTCAAATAGCTCTGAAAAGATCCCGTGTAAGTGGGTATGTTACTTTCCTAGGGAAACAACAAATTACTACAGGACAACAGTCTGTGCTCTTGTTGCTCTGGGGGCACCAGTGTGCCTAGGGCGGGCCGGGCTGTGCTCTTCCCTGGCCTCATCTGCTCTGGTGGCTCCTGTGCTCCCTTCCTTGTGTCTGGGTCCCTCCAATCTGTGCCTCCACCTGTCCAGGGCTGCCTTCTCTGTGCCTATGTCTGACATGTCCCTTTCCTTCTTCATGGAACCAGCCACGGGGGCAGGGCCCATGCTAAACCAGGATGATCTCACTTCTAGATTTTTTTTTTTCTTTAGAACAGGGTCTCACTATGTAGCCCAGGCTGGCTTCGAACTCACAGTGACCCTCCTGCCTCAGCCTCCTGAGTGCTGGGATTACAGGTGTGCACCACCACATCTGGCTTCATCTCGAGATTTTTTTTTTAGCTTTTTAAATTTTTGATGCTGAGGATGGAACCCAGGGCTTCCAGCTTGCTAGACAAGTGTTCTACCAGTGAGCTAAATACCCAGCTCCTCCAGATTTTTAGCTTAATCAGGTCTGCAGAGACCCTGTTTCCAAATGGGATCACATTCACAGGTGCCAGGAGTTAGGAGGGGGAGGGGCTGTAGTCAACCCACTGCTCTGGGCAACCGATTTCCCCTGGGGAGATGGTAAGGGGCGGGAGGATCATGTGCTTATCACAGTAGGCACTGGAGCTTGGCTGCCTGAGCCTGTGGGGTGTCAGCTGGGCATGAGCGGCCAGGGCAGGGGGTGGATATGGACAGAGGATGTGGGGGACACAAGGAGCCGGGGGTGGTCGATGGAGGCCGGGATTGGCAGGAGCCCGGCTGGGGCTGGCCCTGGCAGAGTGCAGCGGAGGGTGTGGGATGAGAAGCGACTGCCCCTCTGGTTTCATCTGCTGCGGAGCCCGGGGCAGCTGCAGGGCTTCTCTCCCTCACCTCCATCCAGACGCACATCCTCAGCAGAGAACACCTGCGCCCCTGCTCTGCGCCACCAGGAGCCCCTGAGAAGTGGGGCGGGGCCTCCTGCCAGCCTTTTTGCCGAAGGAGCGTTCTTTGTGAGGAGGCTTCCAGACATCGGCAAGCAAGGCCTCCAGGGGATAAACAGAAAGACCCGCGAAGTGGTTCTGTCCGCACTCCAGGAGGTCCCTGCCAACCCACTGGGACAGCAGTGCTTGGTCCATGGCTCTGGGGAGTGAAGTCTATGCCAATCAGGTGGGCAGGCAGCAACTTGAGACTCAACACCGGGAATCCAACCTGAGAATCAGCTGAGCCCCTGCCAAGAGGGACCCTCGCGCCCTCCTTGTTCTTCCATCCTGGGAAGCGTGCCCCATGCTGTGCCACGTGTGCCATCGGAGGCCCGAGCGGCCCTTTCTTGCCACACCCTCCTGCCTGGTACACAGCAGAGGTTTGCGGGACATTCGTCCCGTTGAGCTCCAGGCATGGTGTGTGAAAGTGACCTTCTAACTGGATTGTGTGGAGCTTGTGCCTACAAGGGAGTTGTGAGCGCATCTACAGGATGCCTCTGCAGCTTTCAAAACAAAATCCTTGCAGAATAAAGCCCTCCGAAGCCTGCAGGCTGCCCATCAAAGCAGTGTTTTGAAGGCACACTGCCGGTGAGGTCAGAGCACTGATGAGGAGGGATCCAGGCGAGTCGGAGGATGCCAAGTGAAGGCGGTTGGAAGGAAGTCAGCGGGCAGCGAGGCTTCTGCAGTCGGACGGATTAGGCAGGGTCACCAGGCACGAGGAGAGGCGGGGGCGGCGGACAGCGAGCGAAGAGGAGGTGGGCCTCGCAGGGCTCCTGAGCAGGCGGCTTCCAGCCCAATTAGGGGTTGAGATTGGTTTTTCCTCCCTCTGAGCGTAATCTGACGCTGTTTGGGGAGGCAAGGCCGAAACCTGATCCTCCCGTCCCGGGGCTCCGTTAATGTTTAATCAGATAGGATCGTCCGATGGGGCTCCGGTGGCGTGATCTCCCGGCCCCCGGGCGTCGAGCGCCCACACCCTAGAAGGCTCGGCGGGCGTCGAGGCCCGGACTCTCCCGCCGGACAGAGGCCCAGCTTCCAGCCGGGCGCGCCTGGTCCTCCGCCCGGGCCGGTCCCGCGCCGCCGCCGTGATGCGCACCCGCGGGCCCGCGCCGCCCTGGTGCTCGCTGCTGCTGCTCCTGCTGCTGCTCCTGCTGCTGGGCCCCGCGAGGGCCGGCGCCCCGGAGGACGAGGACGGCGACTACGCGGAGCTGGCGCTCGCCTTCCAGTCGGAGGAGGATGGCCTGCCCGACGCGGCCCCGCACGTGCCCGGCGCCACCTTCCACCGCTGCGCCAAGGTGCGCGCGGGCTGCGCGGCGCC